GAGATTCCAACACAGGACTTATCAGTCATCATCTAATCACTATTAACTGACTTCAAAAAGCATTTCCTGGAGTTCTAGTAAAAAGCCGTGACCAGTGAAGTTCAACCAGGTCTGTTGTGAGATATCAGCTCACTGAAGACAATATATATATATATATATATATATATATATATATATATACTTTCTAAACAATTAAGTCACTGCATTAAAGTATTTTATCAATTAAATGTTTGTCTTTTACAATTTTAAGCTTCTATATCCAGTAGAATAATGGCTAAGTAGTTTTAACAACTAAAATATTAATTTTCATTAATTTTTATTCTTATATTAACTAATTAAACACGAATGTTTAACGAGTAAACAACTAAAAAGTAGTACTTAAATGATGGAAATGAAATTAACAAAGTTAAAATAAACATTAAACGACTAATATAAATGTATGAAGTGTTTCAGAAATAACGATGACAAAAATAAATAAAGTAAAGCACTTTATGTTATATAGTTAATTTAAACTAATTAAATACTATACAAATAGTTTCCTATCTACGAAACCACGAAATATAAATAAAAGATTAATATGGAAGGAAAATAATAATAATAATAATGCTAATATTGAATTTGTTCCTTAATTAAATTCACTTTTGAAGTATTTTAAAGAGTGAGCATGCCAAAACCGACTAATATTCTTTATTCATTCAAGTGATTTGTGAAATGAATAAGTTTATCCTCAAGAAGTTAATTATTTACCTTGTTTTACTTAGTTATATAGATATTATTGAGATAATATACATAGTGGTTATCAGTGGAATTTACGACGCGTGTTTCGTCCTATTTGGGACTCGTCAGCCGAATGTACTTGCATCTCAGAGTTGATGTTCATTCTGGTACTCGAATTTAGTACCGTTCGCTGCAAACGTTATCGCATTATCCACTTAGCTACTATCTACCTTTACTTATAATATTTGTGAATCGAGGCAATATTGAGGCAATACACCTAGTATGCATATATGCTAATAAAAGACCTAAGCATCAATGGGAAGATTCAAGTAAACAATAACAAGTGAATTTGTTGTTGGGATACTTTGAGTTGATTATTCATAGTAGAAAATAATTCAAAATGTTTAAACCTGAAAAAACAGATACCTTTTCAAGAAGTGGTATTTATTTCAATGGAAGAAAATGTCACATTGGTTTATTACTCAGACCCATAAATTCGATGTTTACTTAAATTTTAGGTAAAACTTGTATAGTTACTTTTAATCATCTTGTTTTAAATGATACCTGAAAAATATAGATAAATCTTTGTCAAGCAATAATTTCTTAGTTAAATGTACACTATAGATATATTTTAGAAAACAAAAATTAATATGTAATGAAGTTGGTGGGCGAGACTATAATTTATAGACGAATCAATCAGATATAAGATAACGAGTCACAAATTTGGGTGCGGAATTCTTTCATCAATTTGGCTAAATAGAGTTTGGGCATTACAACTGATGTCCGTTCGTGATGAAAACCCTAAATCTAATTTTAAACCCTAACCATCAACTGTTAATGAGGATTCTAACTGCCTTATAACTCTCATTTACTCCTAATTAAAAGTTGTTCACTCTCAAAATCACTTCAGCATCGCTAAAAGGTCGTCTATAAATTATAGTCTCACCAAGTTGATGAAATACTTTAAAATAAGTCTAATAATAACATATTATATTGTCCTATGGGAAGTATTATAAACAATGGATTCTTCTTTATAAAAATGCACAGAAATATAGATATATTTCAGGTAGATTATCCATATGAAATTAGCTAAATTGACTTAAATGTCATGACATATCTTATTGAAATTGCATAAATACATCAAAACTATCGAAAAAAAGGCCAGAACACAGCAAAAAATATTTTTTTTAAAAATTTTTATTCCTAAATACATTAACAATAATAAGATATAAAATAAATAATAATAATAATAAGCTATCTACTGAGCAGTACGAACAATATAGTTAAACAATTCACAAACACTAAATGATTGAATTAAATACCATACACTTAAGTAATAAAAGAAAAGTAAATTAGTTTAACCAATTATCATAAACTTCGAATGAGAATTTAAGTAGGTGAGGACTTAATATAAATTGATAATGAATCTGTTATACACGTAAATATTTGTAACCCTTTCTATTATACTTCAAAAAAAATAGGCGGTATTTTTTTTAATTGGAACAGCCAATAAACATAATTATGCATTGAACTTTTTATCATTATGCAAACATATGGTTTTCTTAATATTATGAAATTTATACTTCGTAAAACTTACAAAATGGTTAATATAGGAAACAACTTATCATTTGTTTCAAATGAAATATCAGCAAAAAAAATAGATTAAACGATTACTAAGGGTGGTATTTACACCTAATGCAAGTTACTCTTGTTGTAAGTAATCCTCATGAAAAAAAAATTCTAAAGAAACTTAATATAACAGAACATCATAGTAGTAATGGACTATACTATAAATAAATAGAAAAGAGCAGACAGTTGGACAAATCTGAAATTCCATCATAAAGTGGCTGTAAGATTATAGTAGAACCATGAAATTTATGAGTTTGATGTTATCTCATTTCATTTAATAACCAAAACCTACTTTTACAGTGCTGATATACTACTACTGTAGTGAACAGAACACGGGTTGGGACAATCGAATTATAATTAGCACAAAATTACAGAATGACCTGGTAAAATAGAAAAATCATACTATAATACGTAATTTGCAAAGTGTTCAATAATTGTCTCGAACTTCATTGTTCTTGCATTTCCATACTAATTGCTGTCTATTCCCGCTCTTCTCTTCTTGATCTTCCCCATCTTCTGCTACTAGACATTACATTCCTGACTCACGTCATATACTACTTATATCAATATATGTAGCACACACCACATTGCTTCTACTTCTGCTGGCCCTATTATGACTACTACTGTAGTGAACAAACAAATGAGGTGGGCTGGACCAATGTATTCTATATTGCAAACTCACAGAGTAATTTCATAAACTATAAAAACAATGCTTCATGATTCTTCTAATAATGTTGTTATTACAATTGTTCTTTGTTTTCTTATCTGTTCTCTTCAATCTTCTCTGTTCTTCTACCTCTAGACATTCAACTTTCGATTGATGTTACATACTATTTATATCTATCAACATAAGTAGTATACACTACACTAAAGCTACTACTATTACTATTACTCTATAACTAGTTACTTGTCAGTGAAAACTAAGAAATTAAGATCTATATTTAGATGTCAATAAAGCATGTGACAGTAACATTTTTATCAATTATTTCTTAAATTTATTTCACATAAAATGGTAATAAATTATTATTGTATCCATCCAAATGACTTCAATTATCATGTTGTTGTTTTTTTTTTGCATTTTCATATGGGAACGTTTCAGATATGTTAGACGTTTTTAAAAACCATAACTAAATACTGACCAAAAAAAATAGATGACTAGATAATCAGGTTTTGTATTTAAATTTCAATAATTCTGTATAACTGTTTATGACAAATAAATGAGATAGACCTTTATCAAGATATCTGTGTAATTAGGAAAACCATAGTGATATATATATATATATAATATATATATATATAACTTTTAGGATAAGATACATTATAAATTGATGTCAAATATTAAATTAATTTCCAAAACTAGTTCCAGTGAACTGTCTTATTCTATGTTATTATTATTCTATGTTATATTATAGGCGGCCTGCTTGAGCATCTGGGCTACCTGTTCCTGCCATCTAGATATTTCAACAAGTTATCTATTTTTGTTTGTTTTAATATGTCATTATGTCTATTAATCGCATAACCTATCCTGGTGTATTTCTGAAAAGTGTACAACCTTTCGTTGTCAAATTTACAAAAAGCCCAATGACAAATAATGTGGTCTCTGGCAATATGCAGAAAAAAGAATATACATTATTCAGATGTTCATTTACTGGACTGCTAACATCTAACTGGCGATCACTCAGTCTTTATCGTCAGGATCGACCAAGAAGTAGGAAACGGAAACTTGTTGAAATACTTTGTGCTGAGAATTCTTTATTGTACCAAAAATATAATATTGAATAAAGCTTATAATGAAAAAAAAATGTTCCACACATCTACGCAACATATAACCACGTCCTATTTATGATTTACATAATTCGGACCCATTGACCATCTAGTTAGTATGATATAACTAGACCAGTTAAATTTAAAAAATTTCAATTACAACTAAATAAACACCCATGATAAACATTTGATTGTAGAACTAAATTCATATTTTCGCTGGTCTTGTTTTATAACTTAATTCCTGGTATTCAGGTTCATAATAAAAGGTACACAATTAGCCAGATTACAATTTTAGCAACATCACTTGTTTATTGACATACAAGTTCACTTTGTCGTTATATCAATAACATTACATGTTGTGCTTTAGATTTATGAAGCAGTAGATTGAAATAAGTTAGAATTCGACGTGGATTTCATACTTCATCACTAATCTTGATAACAGATAAAATGTTGTCAGTTAACATCTAATTCTTAATGATCTTCAACGATTACACAGATGTTTTCCTTTCCTTTTTTTGGAGGTTACATAACCACAAACTATATTAATCAAAATGTATGCGTGGTTCTGTAAAATTAATTAAACTAATTAGTAAACATTGTAGTGATACTTATAATTCGAAAAGGTTTTTAGTTTTTCCTGTTGCTTATTGAATAGTTTCTATTTTAATTTTTCACATATACCGTACTCATTCACAAGTCCTGACAGTCTAACTCATGTTTTTTTGTAGTATCTTCAAGTTCAGAGACAAATTAAATTCTTACTACTTAAGGCTTTAAACTGTTATATTTACTTGTTCCTCATAAGACCAAAATATTATAAATCCAATTTGGATTTTTAATTATTGTGCCTTATTGTAACAACTGCTTTCCTTCCAAATTATTGTTTTTAGGTAGTTGCATTTGATTCAGGTATACCAAGTTTATCGATAAGCACAAATGTCCATATTATTTTGGATGATATTAATGATTGTATACCAAACTTTTCTCAATCGGAATACAATTTTACTATAGTTGAAGATTTTATGCAAAATTATACTGGACCAAGAATTATTGGCATGGTGGTTGCAACTGATTGTGACATTGGATTGAATAGTATGTTAATCTACTCTCTTCTTGATCCCGGTTTACCTTTTGAAGTAAGTTGAAAAATAAATCAATAAGTCTACACTATATCAAAATCGTATAACTATGGACAGTGTATACTCATAAAGTTATCCTATTTGTACCATATTACTACATTATCTCAAAATTATACAGACCATATTATCATTGGTTACCAGCCATGACGTTTTTCGAAAATATGTTTATGAACACAGATGCAACTTCTTATATCTTATAAACAGTAAAAAACATCGTTGTCATTGAAGTGGCACTTAGTCATCCATAACAATTATTCCCCTGACTGATCTAGTTGACCCTATGTGGTAGAATAATGCAGTTTGTGAAAACCTCGTCTAGAAACTGTAAGTTTTCTATACATAAAGGTGTAATTAAGTAATCGTAACGAATTAGCTCAATTGAATATTTAAAATTAAGTATTAGTCAATGTGTTTAAAAACAACCCGGTAACCATCAGACCCAACGAATTCCAATGACTTTTGTTGTGATGACCTGATAGCCGATTGATACAGTAAATAGGATAATATAGACTAATTAACAGATAATCTGCTTATGGGCTCGTAACTTAGATCTTGGATGAATAAACTCTAAACAACAGCACAATAATACTATTGTGCTACTGATCAGAACGTAAATGACTAACCATATAAAGAAAAATGTAATTACTAACTATTCATGGATCCACGTCCTTTCAGTGACTAGAAGGAATTGATATTAGAATTTCGTTTACAGTATATGATACTTGCTCCATATATTTTAGCAATACTACAAACCATTTAAATCAAAATATTAAGTAAAGTTAAATCTATTAACTGAAGTCCTCAATACAGTATGCATTTATTGATTTGACTGTGGATTAAATATTGTGTACGAAAACTTGTCCTTTTGAATACAGTTTTTTTTAATATATGGTATTTACAAGCACCGAAAGATTTACTCCTTGTATTATATACAAGAAATAATGTTATCAATGAATTGATTATACGATTTTTTCCCAATACAACTAACTTAGAATTCTTCTCATATCCAGCTTATCGATTTTAAGTTTGAACAAGATACAGCGATAAATTCTAGACATAATTTCATGTAAATTATTAACAAAATATCATTTCGAACAATTGATCTATGTTGAGAAGGGGTTCTGTGGAGATTTTAGAAATTTCAACAGTTAAAACCATGAGTCAATTGAAGCTAGACCACCATGGAAAACCTGGAAGCACTGGACGGCTGATTCGTCGTAGCATGAGACTCCTCAGCATTGAACATTCACGATTCCGCACCGGCTCAGTGGTCTAGTTGGTTAAGCGTCTGGCCTGATACTGATAGGTCCTGGGTGGTAGTGGTCTAGCTTCAATTGTCTCATGATTTCAATCAGTGAAATTGATCTATGTATACATTTTTGACTTCACTTCTGTTTGGTTTATTAGCTAATCATTACAACAAACAATATGAAAAATTAGTCATCTTTTACTGATGTTTGTATCATGGTTTATCTTTTACTGTAACTATAGATAGTAGAATTATGCTCAGTTAAAATCATATTTAGTTTATTCCTTATTACTAATGTCTTATAAAAACTATTCATTATGATAAAAGTTTCCATAACCCTTTGATCTCATTTCAATAACAGTTGAACACTAAATAGCATCAGATAAATATTTAGTTTTTATTTAAAACTATTAAGTAGTATTTAACCAGAACTGTTCATGTTTTCTTTGATTCATAAAATACTCTACGATATAGAGTTCTATGTTAGAACTAAACATTTACCAGTTATGCAATTGCTTCCCTTTATAAATTTAAATAGAACAAGAACAAACATCGGAATAATATGAGTTCATATTATTCTGCATCAATGTTTGTTCTTGCTCTATTTATATCCAGTTATGCTTGATTGTTCAAAAATTTCCTTGAATAATCTTCAAATATTTTATAAAAACCAACGCTAAATTAAATTGCCGCGCAATGATTACAAACCAAAAGCAAAAAAAAATACATCCTATGTGATGGGAATCAACAAATATATTAAACATCAATAATGTCAATCTTCCAATAAATTACCGGAAATATTCATTTTAAAAATTAATCATTTTATCATCAATCTGAGAAAAAAAACCAAGGTGTTTATTTTGACATTATAATAAGTATAATTAATAATGTAAACTAAATTAGATTGTTGAAATATTAGAAGTACATAATTTTCTGCCTATACTTCACTTATGAACTTGATTTCATTGTAAATGATCATTTAAAATGAATTCGAATATCATTTTAAAAACTTGGTTAACATTGGCTACATAATCTATGATAGATATCTAAGATAATGAATTTTATAGCATGGCTGGTTTTTATTTCATCTACAACCAAATAAACATGTTTATAATGATATTACTTTGGGTCGTTATTTTATCATTTTGATGAATTACTCTTTCATATCTGCAAACTGATGACTATGTTTCGTTAACTACTAAGATAAGGACCTTAATAATGTAGTTCATCCCACCTAATCCATTCAAAGCTTCAATGAAAATGTTAACCAAGTATTAGTAACTTTCGAATAAACACTTTTTAAACGTCACATTTCACAACCATAAGGAAAAGCTAAGCGAATTACTGAGCTTTTACAAGCGGTGAGGATTATAAACTAATCTCGAGATTTTGCCAAACATCAAACTACATGGGTTACCAAGACTTTCAAGATAAGTGAAGTGGTTGACTTTTGCAACCATTTTATTCTTTAATACTATTGTAGGTATTGAACCTGACCGATTCTAATGAAGCATTTTGAATTTCGAGAGAGAAAACTTATCTGTAAAGCTGGGTGAAACGACATCATTTCTCTCAAGATTACAGGTACACCTTGCTGACGAGTGCCGAATAGCACGAAAGTAGTTCCAGGGTTTCGTGACGACTACCTGCGACTACCGTCCCATCTCAATTCAGTGGATGCGATGTCCAGTCACCTAGACTATGGGCCACTTTGCAACTTGGTCTATAGAATTCGATCTGCACTAAGGAGAACCTAATACGCTTGACATTGATCCCTAACCGATGATCAATTAGTTACAAAACGTTTTAACATCCATCTTCAAGTTTCGAATGTCATTATCATTGTAAAAAGATAGTGTTCCATGTTTTTACTGAATTACAAAATTATTAGACAAATAACCAAATGACTTAACAACGAGGAAAAATTCCGGGTAAAACATAAGCACAAAAGACTGGAAGTGAAAAGAAATCATTAATTAGATGAAACCGATGAATATGAATTAGTAGACATAAATCTGAATTAGTAGAATAACTATCTAGAACTAAACATATTATCAATAGGATTAAAACTTATACATTTAGCACTGCTCTCGATAAATTAACTAATACTAACCATGAGTTATGAAAAACAAGATTATATGACAGCATACTCTTATTGAAATATCGCTAAACTAACAAACGAATGACAGTGAACTACTAATATATTCACTCTATCAACCATCTTATGCATTAAGGACTTGTGAAGTTCTCAAAACTCATATGTGAATAAGAATTATAAATTATCAAAAATACATCATCATTCCTGTTATCAGATCATCCGAATTTATTTTTGAAAATTAAGTTTACATTCATTAAATCAACAAACGAATAAATTATACACAGGAGGTATTAGACTGTGGTACAACACAAAGAACTATACAGTAATGGAATCTCCTTACCATTTTAAACATTGCGATTTAGTTTTTTATGTTGTTTATCTATCTAATTTGAAAATCGGTACTAATAAACCGCAATTGTTAAATCTTTAAACAATACCAAAAGATATATATTTTTTGTGACTATTTTATTTCTATTTAACCTTAATCTTATTTATTCATTTTAATTAACACATAGATATTGGCTCAAGAAGGCACCAAATACATATGCGCCACACAAATCTCATTTGATTTGTGAGAGAGCTGTGATACTGCCCGGGTGCCCAAACCGAAGCAGATGGTTTTCTTAGGGGGCCACTCCGGAGCCTTCGACCTGAAGGTCTGATCCACAAGGCAGCGGAACAACGTAAGAAGTCGCAGTCTCATGGTAGCCATTGATCAACGAATGGTTCACACGCCAATTGTTCCTTTAGTATACTGGAGCCCATGTGCAACATTGATTTGGATTCAGGGTTTTCCGACTCCCCTAGGTAGGCTCTCCATGTCCACCAATCCTGTTAAAGCCCCGAACATCCGCTTATCTTCCTCTCGAGTTCGTAAACAACACCCCCGCCACGAGAAGGCAGTGAGTAGGACTTCCCTGGCAGAGGCTATATACGCGTGGCCATGTGATAGTACTTCAAGAGGGAGAGCTGACTCTCCCCACTCTCGGCTATACCTGGGCATTTGGAAGCTAACCTCAATCTAATAAAATATGTACCGTATTTTTACTAATTCAACTACATTTGTTGAATAAAAAAGAAAGATTGGGACATAAATGCTTCTTTATAAACATACTTTATTAACACATTAATAATATGATTATAATATATAAATTGATTGACATAACTTAGGTATATTATTTCCTAAATAAACAAATTCTTTATAAAGAAACAAAATAATGATATGTTAAATTATATTTAAATAAACCAGATAATGTATCATTACAATTTGTCGATATACAACAGTTGTTCTTAGACCACCTACATAATTCCAACAACAACAACAACCAAAAACAAAATATGATTGAAATAAACAATTCGTTAAGATTCATCTAATGAAATATTTAAAATAATCATAGGTAAATATCTATATAAAGAAGTTAATTTATGTCAAAACTATCAATCATGAAATCTATGCATAATGGTTCAGATACTTTTTGAAATTATTCAATATAAGATTATAAAATGTTCAAGTATTAGAAGTAAGATTATTACGTACTTACTTACTTACGCCTGTTTCTCCCACTGGAGCATAGGCCGCCGACCAGCATACTCCAATTCACTCCGTCCTGGGCCTTCTTTTCTAATTCCATCTAATTCCTGTTCATTTTACGCATGTTCATCTCTATTTCCCGGCATTCTGTGTTATTTGGTCTTCCTCTTTTCCTTTGGCCTTCAGGATTCCATGTGAGGGTTTGTCTTGTAACGCAGTTCGGTGCTTTCCTCAATGTGTGTCCTATCCACTTCCAGTGCTTCTTCCTGATCTCTTCCTCCGCTGGGATCTGGTTTGTTCTCTTCCACAGTTGGTCGCTGCTAATAGTGTCCGGCCAACGGATCCAACGTACTTTGCGTAGGCAACTGTTAATAAACACCTGTATTTTCTGGATGGTGGCTTTCTTAATTCTCCAGGTTTCCGTCCCATGCGGTAGAACTGTCTTGACACTTGCATTGAAAATCCTGACCTTGGTGTTGGTTGCCAATTGTTTTGAGTTCCTGATGTTCTTCAGTTGTAAATATGCTGCTCTTGCTTTGCCGATCCGCGCCTTCACATCTGCATCAGATCTACCGTGTTCACCTGTAAATTGCTTATCAATACTATAGTGAAATGCTAGCTAACTAATTCTAAGTGGTTAATGTAAAGCTGTCATACAGATACATTTCGTCAAAAATAACTGACAACTTACTGTAAAGATTCTAATATTGTGTTGACATACTATTTTTTACAAGTACTTAAATATAGTTTGAATCAACTTTGTTGAAACAGCTTCTCTTAGCATATTGTAGCGATTGAAGAGAAATATTTTAGAAATTTTTAATCTTTATTATTAATCAATTACTAATCTTTTAGGATGCTTCTTTCTACTTAAATAAAGTTTTACCTAATTTTCATCTTGTAATTCCACTTGTGCAACAATTTATTTCTGTTTTCATTATTTCGACTTATAGGGCATTAATTCTTTCAAAGATAAACTTTGTAAGTCCAACATTAATGAGATTGCTTATTAGTCTTTGAGGATTATCTCTACTAAAATTCGTAGACGCTATAATAGTTCTAACGTTTTTCTATCATTAATTATCCTTTGGAAATACTTCACATGAACTGATGAATTGAAAGGATGGAATGAACAAAGCTCCAAAATTACTGTTGACGGTTTCAGTAATAGTTAAGAAACATGGTACACTTAAGAATTCACTGTGGTAAGTTGAACTAGAGTTTAAAATTGCCTCATTATAACTCAATATAAACAATGTATACATATCAATCTAAGCTTTTTATCAACATAAGATCTCACAAATATTTGACCTATGACAATGGAGAATTATTACACATAGGAGGAAATCTACGAATTACCGATTAAAACAACGGTAGAACAGTTTCTTTCAGTTAAACTATTTAAATTAAATAATTTTTTGTAATATACATACGTGTAATTGAATTTCATTCAATAAAGAACCTCACTGTATATTTTTACAGATCGATTCTCATGGTCTTTTGAAAACAAACCGTATTATAGATAGAGAGTCCCAATCAATTTATCAGTTTACAGTTCTAGCTACTGATGGTGGAGTTCAGTTAGAGAATAGATATTTACCGGTAAATTATCAAATTGATGATTATGAAGAAGAAATATACGAAGTATCAAAACATAAAATAACATCACAAAATAAAAACAATATTCACACATCTGCAGTCACTGTACGCATATTAGTATCAGATCTGAATGATAATACCCCAATATTTGTATATCCAAACACAAGTGTTTTTAAGGTGAGTTAATTCTCTTGAATAAAAATATGTTTAAATCATAAACCTATCAATTTTAGAAACATAATTTTTCAGTACTATTATTGAATTGTCTTTCTGACATGGTTAAGACACCCAAAACATGATAAGTAACGACCCATATATATATATATATATATATATATATATATATAGAGAGAGAGAGAGAGAGAGATTTTCTGACGTTTCGTGACTTAGTGTAAGTCACTTCTTCAGAAACTAAATAACCAAATTAGAATTAATCCAAGTTTAAATAGTACAACGGAACAATAAGATTAATATTTGACTAATACCCCATTAGCTCGATTTCATATTTATTTTGTTTCATTATTTAAATAATTTAACTAGTCATTAGACTATGATCATTAGATAAGTTTCTTAAGTCGTAGATTGTTTTGTTCTTTTCATTTTTATTTAAGTTATTCAGAATGAGATAAGCAAACAATTTCAATATTTCTTAGTCATTTAAATCTTACATACTTTGGAATTTCATATTGTAGGTAATCTATCTTCTGTTGAAAAAATATGTCTACAGTTAAATTCATGTGAATTATACAGAATGAAAAATATGATACAAACACTTCTATGAAAGGAATTTCTAGCTCATCTTATGCTTTATTTGTTACATAAGAAGGATTTACTTATCTTTCAAGTCACTATTAAACATGAAACTATTTTTAGGTTATTTTTGTTGTACTTTACAATAACGATAAACTGAACACATAAAATGATAAATGAATGTCATGTTGAACAAAAGACTAAACACCATCAAATAAACAGTTTCTGGTTATATTAGAGTAAGTTTCTTGATGCAGATCATTGTAAGAAAAACGAACTCTGCTAGAATTGTCCCTATTATGTATTTCATTTTTAAATGACCGGTGATCATATTGATTGCTTTGAAACATTTACAGCTTTAGTGATTTCATCTTGATCAAGATGTGGGTAATTCGTTTTTTAGATATGCGGTTTTATGTATTGGAAAACTATATAATATTCAAACAAATGGTGCTGAATCATTTCATTCACAACAAAAGATTTTCTTGCTTGTAAGCCTTTAAATCTTTCATTATACTCCATTTGTAAACATATAAATGTCTATACTCTGTATGTGTATTCTAGGATGTGTATCGTAACTATATTAAACGTATACAATATTTACTCAGACAATAAATTATTCTAAGCAAAGATGGAGACTGACCAATTACGGTCGTACACATCAATGGGAAGGTTCAAACAAACAATACGAAATGAATAAATTATTCTATATTTTATAGTATTGTATCTCAAAGATACAATCACTTATGCCTAGCTAGTAAGCACAATTTCTTTAGCTCATTAACGTAAGACTTAGGTGCTTGTCATCTTCAAAAATGTGAATCCAAACCCAAAACATATCACTAGTCTTATTTTATTTAGTTTGATAACAGTCATTTGCTCTTGCATCGATAATCAGCATCATACAAACTTTGGACAATGAATAATTGAATGAAAATAACAAATAAATATATTTAAACAGCTTAAATAATCAAATTACATTTTTATGCTTTCTTCCATGCTCTAGAACACAATAGTTTATCAACAATATGAAATTCAGTATATAAGTTCTTGAAAGTTCCTTTATTACTATTCATAAATCTTTCTGATTCATACTTGTCAGCATGAATCTTAGTCTTAAACTGTTGTGAGCTTTGATTTCCAGTTAACTGAAAATGTACTATGTATTTAGGTAGTTGATATATAAGTTAAAATTCAGTTGTATCTTGTGTATAATCACTGGCTCTTTTCACAGACATTATTTTATGTTTATAACACTTACGTCATAAACAAATGTTGATATCGGTTTTTAAGGGATGATCGTTCAACAGACGTTCGTGATAAATATGATACCATCATTTTTTTTAAAAAAAAGGATATATATCAATTGGTGATGATGAAATGTAGATTCGGTAGTCGCATAGTTATTTGTTTTTACAAATATCGTAGACATTCTTGCTGATTTTTGAAAAAAGATACAAATAAATGAATGCCTTTATTTATATTAAAACAATGAAAATCGATCTCAAACTTCAAAAGTTATTTCATTTATTCTTTATTCCTAGTCTTCTTTAAGTTCGTTCTACATTCATTAATAACTTCAATTGTAAGTAAATCTATAAATTCAGTCATATATATTCTACGCAGCCTTGAAGAAAACAGTCTTGTTTCTAATATATGTTCGAAATAGCATCAATTAGCACATGTATGGTATTTTTATTTTATTTGTACGTAGATATTGGTACAAAGGGGCACTGAATACATATACGCTACGCAATTCACTTAATTTATGTGTGGATTGTGATACTGCCTAGATGCCTACACCAAAGAAGGTGGTTTTCTTAGGAGGCCACTCCCGAAGCCTTTGACCTAAAGGTTTGATCCACAAGGCAGTAGAGAAACGTCAGGAGATGCAGTCCCATGATAGCCAGTGACCAATAATTGGTTCATACGCCATTTATTCCTTGAGGATCATGAAGCTTATGTGCACCATTGGTTTGTAATCAGGGTTTTCCGAATTCCCTAGGTGGATCCTCCATATCCACATGTATAGTAAACATATATGTTTAAGATAAATGAATTTGACAAAGAGATATACATTATAGTTATTTATTTTAATTTCTTGCGAACTACTTGATCTCAGTGACATGTAAACTAAACTTAAATCTAATTAAAATTGTACAACAAACAGAAGTTATCAGATATCACTTTTTAAAACAATCAAAATAATATTTACGTTTTTGGTTAACCATATTAATTGATTAAATTTTTTATTTCCTTATGACAGAATATGTCAAGTTGGATATTACCTAATTCAAAATTATCTTGAAATAATAATTCAACACAACATTTCTGTTGCTATGACAGAATTTTATAAAGTTACTCATTATTCACATGCTAAATATTTTGTTTTTCTAAATAAACCTTCCTATAATATATCTAATTAAACTGTTTCATTTCTATTAGAAAAATTGTCCTTGTCAAACGTCATGTGGAATAGTAGATGTAACAGACTTACTTACGTCTGTTACTCATCGTGAAGGAGCATAGGCCGCTCACCAGCATTCACCATCCAACCCCGACCCGAACAATCCTTTCCAGCTCTTTCCAACTGTTATTCATTCTTTTCATATCTGCTTCTATTTCCCGACGTAATGTGTTCTTTGGCCTTCCTCTTTTTCGCTTCACTTCAGGATTCCAAGTTAGGGCTTGCTTCGTGATGTAGTTTGATGATTTGCATAGTGTATGTCTTATCCATTACTATCGCCTTTTTCTAATTTCCATTTCAGCTGGAAGCTGGTTTTTTCTCTCCAACAGAAGACTGTTGTTGATGGTATCCGACCAATGGATGTAGAGTATTTTGAGCAGACAACTATTTATAAATACTTGTACCTTCTCGATGATGGTTGTAGTCGTTCTCCAAGTTTCAGCTCCGTACAGTAAAACTGCCTTGACGTTCGTATTGAAGATTCTCACTTTGATATTGGTTGAAAGTTGTTTTGAGTTCCATATGTTCTTCAATTGTAGGAATGCGACCCTTGCCTTACAAATCCTCGCCTTTACGTCTGCATATGATCCTCCTTGTTCATCGATGATGCTTCCCAGGTGTGTGATGGATGCTATATCTTCCAGAGTTTCTTCATCAAGAGTGATTGGATTGTTGCTCTCCGTGTTGTATTTGAGGACCTTGGTTTTCCCCTACACTGGCTGTCTTTGTCTGCATTTGTTCGTGTGTATGCGATAGGAGGGCTAGGTTATCTGCGAAGTCTAAATGGTGTAATTGGTTCTGACCTGTCCATTCTATGCCGTGTTTTCCCTCAGATGTAGAGGTCTTCATAATCCAGTCGACCACCAGAAGAAAGATGAAGGGGGAGAGTAGACAGCCTTTTCTGACTGCAGTCCTTACTTGGAATGCGTTTTTCAGCTGTCCTCCATGCACGACCTTGTACTGTAGTCCGGCTTATGAGTTCCGGATAACGTTGACAATCTTCTCAGGAACTCCGTAGTGTCGAAGAAGTTTCCATAACGTCCTCCTATTTACACTGTCAAATATCTTTTCATAATCAATGAATTTTATGCATGGTGATATAACAGAGTTATACTGATAATAGTTTGTTGTCATTATTGAAAAATCTAAACTCACTAATTGAAATCTGTTTAATTTTTTTTCGAATAGATATACTTCAATTAATGCAATATCAAAACTAACATTTAGAAATTAATAATAAACTTATTCATTATATATATTTCTTAATTTCAAGGTTCGACTTTCTGTACATGAAAAAAAGGATTTATATTAACACGATTAGTAGCTGTTGATAAAGATTCAGGTCGAAATGGTGAGATACATTACAGTTTACTTAAAGGTGATCCCAAACATATATTTGGATTACGTCATGATACAGGAGAGATAATTGTGACAAATACTATTCAAAAATCTAAAGATGCAAGTACAATATTTCATTAAACCTTATGATGTTTGTTTGTATGCTTGTTTTCTATTTTTCATGATTAATTCAAAGATTTATCAGTCCAGTTTATTTCTGTCATCTAAGCATTTATCTTCCTGAGAATTTACTGGATGCGCACTGGTAGGTAGTCTCATAATAGGATGAAATAGATGTTCAATGATCTCAGATTTTCTAGTGTTGGCTTACCTCATGCTAGTTTTCAAGCATAACAACATTCAACGATATCCACATCCCTTGTATTTATAAATCTTTATAAATGAAAATGTTCAATAAATGTACCAAACATATTAAAGACAATGATTAAGACGCATTGAAAACATGTGTTCATTCGGATACATTTATTAATTCAATGGAGTTCATTTTGCACAGCAATAAAGAAACAATAGAAATGCAATTTTCATGATTGAAAACCTACGAAATGCTGATTCTGTGATTTATATTTAGAAAAAACAATAACGAAACACTGGGTAGCTACAGTAAAATTAGTATCCCATGAACAGCCTATTGGAATGAAACAAGTTCTACTAGCATTCACTATCCCTATTTACCAATAATCTTATCACAAGTTAAATTAGCTTAGTTATTGTAGTTGACTGAAATCACGAAGCTAATTTTATTTTAATGGGTCAGTCACATTCTTGAATTCATTCGCTCCGTGTCGTAGCGCAAATAGACTTTAAGATTATAAATGAGCATTCTACTGTGCTTCATTTGTAACGAAGTAACGAAATTGTATCATTCTGTAATTCCTTAATACCATAAAATAGAATGACTTCACCAATGTGTAGTGAATAACTTTAAAGTTATCTTAATATGAACTTGTAAATTTTAATTTTTCTGAAAGTGAATTTTGCTTACTTTACTAATGAATTACTAACCTACTCCTTCATTATTTGTGCAATTAGGTCCCTACAATTTTATCGATTCAAGCATCAGATCGTGGAGTTCCACCGAAATCTAGTAAAATAGATGTTCAGATTATTATCACTGACTCACCACCAATTGGTAGAAGTCTTGGTACACTTGATGAATATCAGTTGGCTAATTTAAAATCACTTGGATTAATTGGTATCACCGAAGTGGATAATACTGGAGCTGTTGAATTGAATAAACTAATCATGATGTGTATTGTTGTGTCAACAGCCGTATTATGCATTATATTGATTGTAACTATTGGAGTGTTTGCTAGACGTACAACTTGTAAAAATATTTTCACCTCAATAAAACAACGTCAATCTGCAAAAATGAGAAAGACAAGAGGAAAAAGTAACGTTCCTGATGTTATTTATAAAGATAATGATGATGATAATAATCAGCCGGATGAACTTCAAGAAGAGATGAAAAACCTTAAAGGTATGTTATATTACGGGAACTTTTGTGATTCATCAATACGGATTCATAAATTTGTTATGAGCTATATTTGATAGTCAGTTTGGGGCTTTTATTCTGGTTTTACATTACGCTAAGATAGATTCAAATTTATTTTGCGTCTCTAGTTGGTTTTTAATGCAAACGTTGTGGAAAATATCCTGTAAATTCATGCTTTCAGAACATATATATGATAGAATAAATGTCATTTAAGTATTGTATATTTTCAACGTTTTAATAATTGGTCAATGTTTATTGGAATAAGAAGGAAGCTTATCACTTGATAGTGTAAATATATATTGCTACTGCTTTTCTTAATTTTTCCATATGATTGAAAAAATACAAATTAAATGGATAATTATACAAATGAAAGGGTGATCTATAGTTTTCTGCAGTTTTGAGAAACATTGGTCAAAGATTCAAGTGTAACAATAGAAGACTTTAGGGAAAATGAATTCACTAGGGATTGTTAGTAAGATAACACTGCCATACTCGATATGTTCATTTGATCCTAACTGTCTTGAAAATATCACTCACTTTTGATCTACTAGTTAATTTAGACAATTTATTCATAAGTAAATCGTTGTTTGTGTAGTACCCAGTACCCAATCTCACAACTTATTTCACATATAAGATAGACTTAGAGACTGATTTTAAAACTATGTAATCTTATGCTGCCAGTCTACAAAATGTTTCTGTCGGCAACCCAGGTGCTAGGTTTGAAGCTATTACGAGTTCAGTTAGTATGCGAATGGAACAAAGACTTGTGACCGTAGACCAATAAGCTAGCTATTCGATGCGTCCCAGCCCCGCAAACTAGAGGAAGATGCCCAAGCTTGGAACGGAAAAGTATATCCTGTAAGCCAGAAGCACGAGTGAATAATAACAGACACAAATCAAACGTATATATGTAACATAAAACTGTCCTTGGGAAGCGTAGCAGAAATAGCATACTAAAAATACACAGCGGACCAATAGCGTCAAAGATTCGCCCAAGTGGGAAATACGACATGAAGGTGAAAAGTGCGCTTTTGGCGCAAAAACAAGGAAATTTAAATTTTTAAAATAAAACTACAAAATTAAGGCATTTACCAAGTAAGTTCTGGGGATCTAACATCCCCAACATCAGGAATTGGTACACACCGATAACAGCTATAAACATATTCCAGCCAAACTCTATGTCACTAGCTCTTATAACTAAATAAGAATAAACGTGGCTTAATCCGTAGAAAAGACAAAAGTAATAGGTAATGTTTTATTTACACCAGCAAATCATTGATATCTCTGCGTACACTGACTTTTACAAGTTTAATTTACAACAGTTAATAATCTGATTTAAAATATAATCATCTGATTGCTACTTGCCACTCATTAATCAGTTATTCATGGTATCAATATAATTAATAATATTACAATTTTCAACCTTTGAAAACACTAAATAAAGCTACTCTACTGAGTTATGAATTTATTTCACTCTAACATTAATCTTTTTAGTGAAATACATGTGATCAAATCTACTGTTGGAAATCGACTTGAATACCGTATTGTCACTTCGTACTAGAACAGTGCTGTAATTTCATAATATTTTTTCCATCTAACAGTAGTTAACGACAAAAACATTTGAATTTTTATTTATACTGTATTAGAATGTGACTATTTTTATTTAAATATGTGACTAAATAACTAGGTATATCAACTAATTAGGGTCAATAAATAGTTTGACAGCAGTTTTCATTAGTATGAGGATTTTCGATGCAAATGATAATGCAGTAAAGTGTATTTTATTACGTAATGTGAGTCCAATTCAAGTACATTTGTGCATTGCAATTTAGTTCATTTATTATTATTATTATTAATATGTTTGTTAATTTAACCAAACAAACTCTTCATTTGTATTAATATTTATCGAGATGTTTGTGTTGTTTCCCTCTTTTCTTTTTTATAGAAAAGAATTCAGTTGAATTATGTGATGTTTTATCTCATGTACAATATAATCATTATCAGGAAATGGCACAAAAAAGTTCACTTATTCCTAAAACACCAAATACCCTAGCTAATGCAATCAACTTGATCATTTACTTCAATTTGTTAAAGATAATAATAATAATATTGTTACTGGGGATTGTGATCTTTATAATAATAATAATAACGCTAATGAAGATACTTTTTCTAAATCAACATTAACAAATTTACACTGTGATAATATATGTTCACCTGATATAAGTATCAGTTTACCTTCTTATACAAAAAATAATTTTACTAATGATACATTATTTATGGGACATTTAGAATGTAATCGTTTAATTACTACAGAAGTAAGTATGAATTATTAATATTATTATTATTTCTGAATGAGATGTATGATCTTTTACTGATTATTTCAAGATGTTGCTATGTTTACTAATCTCATATTGAATTTAATGAGTTTTAAATGTTCATTCAATTAGATTGTGGTGGTCCGTGGATCTGACTTCAATTAGATATTATGAATGTTTGTTATCGCCTATAATCGTATATAATCGTCGACTTAAATCGCGTTAGTCAATAACGGAATAAGTCGAATAAGGAGAATGGACTTGTGAATACATATATTTTGTATATAAAGCGAATTGAATAGAGAGAAGAGAAACGACGCAGAGTGGAGATGGCTAGTAAACCAACTCCCCTTTTACTCAAGCGTTAATCAATATTTATAGTTACACACAAGTAAGTTACATACATGTGATGAGTAATGGGATAAGAAATATACATAAACATATGCGCTCATATGAAAACAGTCAAGATTGATAAGCGAATAAATAACAAGGTCAGAATGTGACTCAAGTAGAATGAATAGATTGGGCTGTCCGAAAGCCAAAATGAGGTATATGGGCTTAACATAATAACCGACATTACAAGATATTTGATATAATAGTTCTTTAAACTATAATCATATGTCATTCGATGCATACTTGACCTAATCCAATATGCTTTACTATCTCATATATCTTTGTAAGAGTTATGAAATAGAATGATAATAAACTTCAAATCATTCTGTGAGGAACTAAATTTGATTCACCTTTTTTTCTTCAATAGTAATATTATTTAAAATTCTATTTAATCAATTCTCTTTAAAATCTGTATTTATTCGAATATTTGCTTTATAAACTGTTATACCTCGATCAGTCATAATTAGTGAGATTATTTTATACCAAATAGTTTATCAAATTTGCATTCTTTATAATAATTTATGAACAAGTATACAAAATTAATTTTCCAAGCGTGTAGACATTGCCACAAGTTCTTTGAGTCATAATTTTTCCGGATGAGATGATCGTATACAACCATAAAATATCTGTACATTTGAAATCATGAGTCAATCAAAGCCAGATCATCATTGCAAATAATTGGAACAATGGGTGGCCTTTTTGTTTTAGTACGAGACTCCTCAGTTGTATGCATTTATGATCTTCATACTGGACTCAAACTTAGGATCTTCAGCCTCGCGCATTATCCGTTTAAGTCAGTTATCATACTACATTCTTTCGCTACCATCGGAGATTTATGCAGTTGATAATCAAAAGGTTACCATATCTTTAATTGATACACAGATAAAATCATTTGCAAAAAAGCGCTAGACCTTGGTTTTGTGTTCGTTAGCATAAGCATCAAAATAAGTCGATAGTCTTAGGTTGGTTGATGTTTCACTTGCTGTTCCAATCAGTTACCGTCACGGCCGGCAGAGTTTTTACTCAGCTGTTCAACGGTAACTAACAGAGCAATAATTTGGTAAACATTCGCTGTATTCTTAACTACTTAGCAAAATGTTAAATTCTTTATTTAGTAATTCTTTAATTCAAAGCAACTAGTAAACCTCTTCAAATCATACAGTACACAAACAGTGATGAGAAGGATAAATACTCAATATTTTAACATATGAAATCAAACTATGAATTTCAATTTTCTGATTGAGGTCATGAATACATTGCTGTTAGACCACCATTGGAAACCTGGAAGTACTGGACAGCCGTTTCGTACTATTTAGGCACTCAGTAGTGCGCATTCACGATCCCGCTCGAGGGATTTCAATCTAAGACCTCAGGCTCGCACGCAAACACTCAACCTACTGAATCACTGAGCCGGCATCCAATGGTGTTAATGTCTGACATCAACCAATCCACGAAATTGCACGGCCATCTTTCATTGTACTGAGTTAGATACCTGTCTCTACCCAACACGGATTAGCTCCACTGGTCACAGCTTCTCACAAGAACTCCGAGAATTTTCTCACGAAGCTAGTCACTGGTGAGCACACATGTTAATTATCATTATCCAGGATTCAAATATAATCTATCTCTCAATTAAAATCTGAAATCACAATTTATTTTGATCGATTACTTCTCTTTTGATATGAAATTTATTAGCGGTCAATCATTTTCAATAGAACATCAACGTTATAAAATTTTATTAGTCCAATAACACTGTGTTACTCTTATAGTGAATTTGAACACCAGTGGGAACAATCAAATGTATCGGAGTACAAAATTACAGAGCATCTCACTAAAATCTGAGAATCATATGGTAAATCAATAATTTGCAAAATATCAATCCATAGTCTAAAACTTGACTGTTCCTGTTGCAAGCATCAATCCATTGTCTCAGTTTCATTGTTCATGTATTTTCATACAATTGCGTTCCGTTCCCGTCCTTTCCTCATCGAACTTCTACTGAAATACATTCTATGCCTGACCACCGTTACAAACTACTTATGTGGATATAAGTAACCCACACCACACTATGTTGTATGAATATAAATTCTAATATTCATTTCGAAATGTATTTTTCATAATAATCAGTAATGTATATAATTAACTAATTAAAGTGAATTTAGCAATCATTACTAACATCTATTCAGTTAAATGCCAACTTAACTGCAAGGATTGAATCGCTTAAAACATGAAGTAATTAGTGCAAATAAGATATTGTCCATTGTCAATATTAACTGAATTTAAAGAAATAGTAGCTATTAAACATTTTATAATGAATATTTTATTGTAGTTCACTGTCGAATGACATGTAATTATTAGATGAATTTCGTGATCTATCAAAGATCATTTACAAAATCGTTATGACTGTAGTGACTGTGCTTCGTTGACCAATCACTCTCGTAACCGTTACCATATAATCCTCAACGGTGTTTGAAAACAGAAGGCAAAGAGAAGCAGCAACTACAGTTTTATTAGAAGATAACTCAGGTCACAGAGCAGTGAGGCGAAGGAATGAGTCAGCGAACCGAGAGTGTGTAGGGTTTAAATGTACATGTATATATATAACGAAATGAATGGATCATCGAATCAATTAAGCAGCTAATAATAAACTAGCAGTAAGCAATGTTCAACATGCATATTTCATACAAGCACAACAATAATAAAGGTACAATAAGTTGTAATAGTACAGATGACTTTGTCCGCTAAATAAGTTAACAAAAGGGTTTAACTGAGTTAAATGAGAAGAAACCCAATTGCACGTGAGTTGGTATATGATATCAAATAAAACAACTTATCAAATAGTCGTGTAGTAGTTGAAATACACATTTAATATACTTTATTTGTACAAATATTTAGATAGATTATTATTCGTATTCTGAAGCAATTAAATGAATTTCTAAATATATCTATGTGTAAAGTAGTAACCATTATTATTTATACATAAATGACATTTTCCTATGATTCATTGTATGATTATTTCACAGGATAATTGCTGTTATAGACCCAGGTAATAAAGTTAATAATATGCTAAACATATATGGTATTTGTAGTTTATACATTAGCTTTCGTATGCAAACTGTAAATAAGAAAGTTTCTTCTTGACACATTCATAATAAGAAAATTGTCGCTGATATTTATATAGGTTATAAGATAGATCTCATACACAAATCAGTGATAAAGTATCTTATATGCTTTTCATACATTAATTTTTGCTGTTTATCTTCCTGGGAAATTACAGCATTGGATACCATCACCTTCTACTAAGATTTTTTTATCACAGTTTATTTTGTCTGTATTTTTCAAAATAATGTATCATATACATAATGCATGATGCCAGGATTAAATTAAATGTCAAATAAGATGTAATACACTGTAATCGTATATCTCAAACGTATAGTTGAATTAAAATGTTAATCACATTTTTGGTATTAAATTAGAATTTAGTTACCGCTACATTCTCTGTTTTACATATACACAATTTCGTCTCTAAGCAACCAGTCTTTTTTAGGAAATACTGTTATATGCAAGAACCAAATTTTTTAAAAAGTACAAATCTTGTAGTTTTCCTTCTGTATATCGATAATACTTTTAATTTAATCACTTTGGCTTATGATGAAAAAAAGAAACATCTATTGCCTAGTTTTGGTGGCAATCATTTGTAACTCCTGAAAATAACATTCTGATAATGTTTCACTCTTTCTAAATAGAATGGCTTATTATAGAGAATATTACCGACTGTAAATTACGATCAATTTTAAAGTAAATGGGATCACAATTGTTAACAAAAATCAAATATATTATTATTGTCAGTATTAATAAGTGTATCATGTTCTAAATAGATCCACATCAGTTTCAAAATGCTTAGAGCTTTCATATGGAGAATTTGTTTAAGTGGTATTTAATAGCTTGAACAAGATAAAAGAGCTCTTTCCTAACTATTGTCCATTAGATGAATCTACTTAGTTCACACGCTAAATATCAAAAAACTCATTCTGTTCATTGGTTACCAGAACAAAAAAGCATTTTAACCAACATAATATTCTGTTATATAACTGAGCTCTGAAAATTCAAGTGAAACCAGTGAACTTAGAAAAAATACTTAGTTGATACATGTGAATAATAAGCTTTCAAGTCGGAAAATATCCTGTTACATTTTTGATTAACAAACAAACTAATGGATTCAAAGTTGCAATCTTATTACAAAGCATATTGTGCTATATACAATAATTACATCTAATAATTGAATTCATGAATCAATTGACGTAAGACCAATATGGAAAACCTGGAAGCACTGGACGGTCGTCTCATCCTAATATTGGACTCCTCAGCAGTGCGTATCCACGATCCCGCATCGCGAGATTAGAACCCAGGACCTTTCAGTCTCGTGTGCAAACGCTTAACCTTTAATCGATTCAACTTTCGCTTAACTCTACATCTAGATCAAAGCTGTCTATATGATTTTGAATCTAAATATCTTAAGAAGTTAAACATTGAGCTTATAATTGTCAATCGAATTTTATTACTTTTTAATGAACTTCCACAAAAAACACTTGTTTCTAAACAGATAAAGTAAGGATTCGCATTTATTTCAGTTTACTGATGTTAATCTAGTCTGTGTGTAATCTGATAGTTGTATTTTATTAAAAAATATTAAACCATTGACAATATGGGATAGTTTGATCTGTATAGTGTAAACATCCGATCATTTAAAGATCAATACATTGTTGAATCGTTTCATAAACCTGAAACAATAAAACTAAATCCCATGCAGTATTTTTAATAGATTATCTTAATTAACCTTTGTACTTAATAAAAAAACCTAACAGTTTTGACTTGCATTATTATACAATAATGAGGTTTTTTTCTTTATATTATTCCATAGTATAATTATTTCTTCCAAATAGTGTCAGTGATGTCGTCCGGTTACTAGAAACGTTAAATTTGCACTGATATTTTAATTAATCATGTTACTATAAGGTTTTGATCAAAAGCTTGGTTAAATAATCTTAAGTTTCTCTTCAAATTACACATTACGAAATAATTATGATGCAAATTTATGTGATATTTCCATGAAAATACATTTTTAAAATATTGGAACTAACTTTTTCTTCCAGTTAAATAATCTATATAATCCAATTCTTAATAAGTCCCTGTTTCATATTATCATACATCATCACTATGAAAAGTAAGAGAGAGTATATTATTCCAAATGAAGACCAATTACAAAACATTTTCTAAACGACTAGGAATGTAGAATGATAGACTGCAATTAAATATATATATATTTAATTAGTCACAATTGAATGATCACTGGGTGTAATCATTGTCATGTGCGTCAAGTCCTTCTTAGCTCAAACTGAATGCTATAGACCAAGTTGCAATGTGATCACTAGTCTAGATGACTCGACATTGCGTACACCATCTTATTTAATTAGTAGATATTATTTAGACAAATAAATACCATTAAAAGTATTAGTTTATTGTAAACATTACTGTTGCAGATAAGCTGCTTGATTATTAAATGACTTAAATTATAGTTAGATTAAAGTGGTTCTCAATACAGGTTTTTCCTAAATTATGTCTTTTTTAACTATAACAAGAATGCTTACAATAATATTATTCAACAAATTTAATGTAACTCTATAGATAAAAAGTCTACTTATAATGAATAAGTTTTTGTTTTAAATTAGAAAAGATAATAAAAACTGTATTTATTACCCAAATATTCAACAAACAAAACAACTATCCCTCTTTTTTTGCCACTTCTTCTGATGCAACTTTGAGAGGTTTTAATAATTACACTGTAAATCTAAAATAATAAAAAAGTAGAGACAACTTCTATTCAATATTATAAAAATCAATAATTTAAAGAGATTTATAGTGGTTTGTTTTCATCAAAACCGGAACAAAATATCTTCTTTACAAGATCTTCTATCAATATGACACAATATAATTATATTCTAGTAAAATTTTAATTCTTTCATCATATGCATATGAACAATATATTTCTATTGGGATAGTAAATAATATTGTGCTAAAGAAATAATACTAAATGTATGGTGTTTTTTAATGTACCTTTGGTAATTCATAGAAAAGAGAACCTGTCAGAAATTAATTTAGACGGCTAGACTTTATAAAAAACCCAAAATATATATCCATAAAAAACATTCATTTTTTTATGAATGAAAGAAAAAAGATTAACTGAAAGTAAACACTTTAATAGTTGAGATCATGAGTTAATTGAAAGGTAGACCACCATGGAAAACCTGGAACCATTGGAAAGCCGTGTCATCCTATTGTGGGACTCCTCAACAATGCGCATCCATGAACTCGCTTCGCGAGATTCGAACCAGGGACTAACTGGTCTCTTAGATAAGCGCTTAATGTTTAGATCACTAAGCCGACATCCAGTGGTGTTAATGTCTAACTTCAACTAATCCAAGAAACTGTGCCACCACCCACCATTGTCTTCACAACAGAAAGTAAACTAACGAATGAAATTATTTGTAATTAAAAACTGAAATGTTTAGTTATATTGCAGTTTAAGAGTTAGAAAAAAATTTTTTGAGTTTTTAACAAAACTACCTTTATCGTCAGTTGTAAACAAAAAAAATTGCAATACTTCTGTTATTAAAAAAATCGCATCATATGAAACCATGTTGTTTTGGATAATTCAATCTGATTGTGTTTTATCCCAGCGAGAAATATGAATGGTAACTCTTAATAACTATTCATGGATAAATATTGTGTCCATTCTTAATGTATAACCAACTATTCAGTAGATGGATTATGTATAACTATACTCCTCTTATTACAAGCTTCACTTTGACCTATAAACTATTATCATATGATTTATCGTTCGTGAGTTATGCACAGTCTACTAATGACAGTCTTCCACGTTCACAGACATTTTTGGCCAGATTTTGTTCAAATGTTATCCTTTATTTTATCGTATGATGTAGTCAGTTTAATTTGTATATAAACCTAGTATGTTTGAAATACATTGTTCATATCGTAGAGGTTGAGATTGGTGTTCTGAACATAACAGGCAGCGCTAGGCATGAAGCAGAACCGATAAGGACTTAAGGTTGCTCATACAGGTTTACGTGTCATTGATCCGGTCGATAAATCACTGTGTCGCTAATTGGCGATGTCATTACGTTATATATTAATCTGTCACAAGGCCAACAAGTTATAACAGACTGTAACTTTACAATGATTAATATGATTTATTGTATGAATTTTCTTACATTATCTAATGATATAGTTAAATTGCTTGTTGTACGAGAAGTAATATCTTTTTATATCTATTATTAGTTGAAGTAAACATTAACTGATATGAAATCCACGAAGACTAGATCAGTTTATTTTCCCTCCAATGAGACAAAGTTGTTATATTGTACAGTGATAATTGAAAGAGCTTAATACATATAGTCCAGTAAGATATCGATAATAATAAAAGTAATGGATAGACAGAAATTAAAAATAGTAATTTTCATATTTGAATTCAATATTCGAAATGCATTAATCATTAACTATTCTTCATTCATCTACGCAAGATGTTTGTCATTCGTTTCAGCAATATTTATATTTATTTTTTTGGTTTATTATTTATATTTATATACAAATGATTAATTCATCATGAACATAGAAATACAAATAGGTGTAAATGTCAAGTCTGTTGTACATGCCTATGCATAAATGTACATAAGATACATATATTCCTATTCTGAGTTTTGTTTTAACATTCATGAACACTATTTGATAGTGTAAATTTTCTAATCGATAATCTATTGAAGATAATTGATGATTTTATTGTTATTTATAACTTAGAAGCAATACTAATCTATCAAATCAACGACAACATTATCATTAGTAATACACCTACATATATACATATGAATATAATCATTAAACTATATTTAGAACTAGACTAAATCCTATCAATGACATATGGTTCTCACAATATCTTCTCTCTCTCTTGAAATGAGAAAGAAACCACGATATATGAAATATAAGCTGATTCGATAGAATAAAACTTGAAAACCAATACATCTACTTTGAATTTTTAAGCCAGTAATAGTTTGCGTTAAGATTTTAGACTAAATGTTTCAATGAGAGTGGCTTTTTTTAAAGAAGAATAAAATAGTTCCAAACTTTAATAGGCTGAAACTGAAGTTTTCATTTTAAAAATGTACTGAAAAACTGCATTACTTCATGAATCATTTAAGTTTACGATGTGATAGCAATGGTTAAATTCAGAAATGCTATCCAGAACATGAATATTTTATTATAACTCAAGCTTATTTAAAAGTCAGAAAAGCGTTTTGTGGAGATTGTTGTAATTTAATAATTGAATTCTTAAGTCAATTGAAACTAGATCATCATGGAAAACCTGGAAGCACTGGACAGCCGTTTCATCCTGTAAGTCTAGGAAATATCCGGCTTGTAGTCAACCATTAAATTTTCAAGAGCTTTTTTCTTCGTGATTTGATTTATAGTCTACTGAACCAAATATAATATACACGTTTGATTGCTGGAATTCTAGTAAGAAGCCGTTAACAGTGGAGTTCAACCGGGTCTGTTGTGAGATAGTAACTCACTGAAGTCAATAGTGGACGGTGGTGCGATTTCGTGAATTGGTTGAAGTTAGACAATAATACCGTTGAATGACGGCTCAGTGGTTTAAACGTTAAGTGTTCGCATGCGAAACTGATAGATCTTGGTTTCGATTCACGCGAGGAGGGAGGGTGGATGCGCACTGTTGAGGAGTCCCACAATAGGACGAAACGGCTTTCCAGTGCTTCCAGGCTTTTTCCATAGTTGTCTAGCTTCAACTGACCCATGAATTCTATTATTAACTTATGTAATAGGTATGAAAATATTCATTGCAGTCACATTTTATCGATTGTTTAGAATAAATGAATAGTGCAATTTAGAGGTTCAACCTTATTTTCAAATCCATGAATGATGTTAAAAGAAGCGGGACTAAATTATTAGGAAATTTTATTCTTTATACCTAAATTCACTCATATTGTTATAGTCTTACAATTGTATAAAAATTTTTAAATTGGTGGTAAATTATCTATAATATCCTTTGTAAAAATCCGCGGCAAACAATGTGGAAGTATAGCGGGAAACCGTCAGGTATTTATTTTATATGGAAGACAGTTGAATTTTGTTGTTTATCCATGAATACTATATATTACTAAGACATAATACTCTTTTTACGCTACATTTAATACATATTTGATGTTGTTTTTGTTTTTATCGATTAGAGCGGTCGAGAAACGCATAGTGAAAGTTTGGCGACTTCAGTTATAAATTCTGTTCCATACATATCCTATACGCAGGATGCAGTGATGACTCTTCCTCGTGTATGTGCTATTCATGGAGCACCAGGAACTGCAATGAAACTTCTCGCTCTTCCATTAAATGATTCATCATATCTTGGTTGCTCTGAAATGAACAGAAATCTCTGCACCTCGTCATTGAATGACGCTCCTGTAATTGATTCAGATGTCGATTCTGGTCGTGGTGGCAGTGTAAATAATATTGGTAGTTCACCAAACAGTGACCAAATTACTCTAAATCACAATGTTACTTCCCGTAAACCAAATGCTACAGTATTCCCGGTTCATTATGTCGCTGGTAGTCTGAATTTCAGTTTAATTCCAGTATCTGTAGCCACAAGTTTAAATTTAACTCCATCTACATCATCCAACCCACCTGTACTTTTACCTTTATCCGAAGTACCAAATGTTTCAACAGAATCAACTTTATTAAACCTAAAAAATATTCTAAACTAACTGGAGATAAATTAAAAGTAACATTTGCTGAGAATCCTAATGAAGAAGAAATTTCATCTCAATTAACTAATTCATTAGATGGTACAAAACCGATAATTCATTATCCTACAGTTTCACCTGATCCGGTTAAAAAAGACAAAGGCCCTTGGCGCCTTATACAATGTACATCAAATAATGTTAAATTATAATTTTTAAAAAATGTACTTAAATTTTATTCTGGAAAATCACTATAAATTATAAATAATTCTTTTTGAATGTATCAGTAATTTTTTTTAATAAAGACTTATTTCATCATCAGTTTATCAATTATTTATATACCATGTCTTCTTCATTCCTCAAAATATAGTATTCATTTACTCTATAATGTAGTACCATATTACTTAAGATTATACTTAGGAAATATTATTTGTAGTAATGATTTCGTTTGAATGTAACCAATATCCTCTGTTCTATGACATTTAATACATGATATCATTCTTTCAGCTTTCGCGCTTTCATAAGGACAAGTTATGTAGAGTTAATACAATGTTTTTGAGAGTTATCAACATTTCATAAATCAATTCCTTTCTCTATCTTTAACTTTAATCCATGATTAGCAGTTAAAGAGACGTGATATTTCAATTACTTTTCACTAAGTAATTCATTGTATAAAATTACTACTAAATTTTGCATAGTATCATTTTATTTGATTAGGACCTTTCTCTAAACTTCAAAATCATCTGCTTGCTCAAGATTCCAATGTTTGGATTAGCATGAAATCTTACGGTACTACACATTCTAAGGACTTATAAAAGCTAAGTTGAAAGTGTTGATCAAATGACATGGTTGAGAAAATATAATACTTATAAACAAATGTTAGATAGATTGAAGATATCATGATAACATTCATTATTAAGAGTGTCTAATAACCCAAATACCACTGAAGTTCACCATAGATTTTAGTCATAGTAGAACATGAGTAATATTTACATTGGGTTTATTATCATGATATTTCTTGGTTGAATACGATTACATTTTCTGTTTATTAAGTAAATTGCTAATATGGTTAAAATATACATATTTCCTTCATAATGAATGTTTTATCAGAAGAAACTAATTGTTATCATTTAAAACTCTCGTTATTCTTATTTTTGGGATTCATTGTTGAAATAAGCGTTGTCGTACATATATACCTAGTATACTTCCAAGAATTAAATACAGGATAAGTTTTTAAACAATATTCCCTAACTTGGTTTTAAGTTTTGTAGTTCCCTAGTTAACCCATTCAAATATAGGTTACAAAGTCTAAATTAATAATCCTAATACAATTTCTTCTGATGAGTTTTATTTTACATGTTTCACCATAATGCTACTGCAATGAGTTGACATTCTATAGATCAAGATGTAATTCATTAACATGGCTTTCTGTTCATCGGTTCTATCATATAAAATGCAACACATGTCGGATTGATCTTATGTACATAAATCACTAACTTCTCTATGAGATTCACTTAATTCCACTGGTAAGGTGTAAAACGTATAATAGTTTACTGATCAACTGACTATCTGACGTTAACATATTTCTGACTGATGAAGTAATTACGCGTTCTTTAATAGCTATTTGACTTTTTCAGTAGTGTAAGCAAAAAAAAACATTTTCGATAAGTAAGTAATGAATAATCACAATAAGTTAGTCATTCTTATCGTATTAACAATGCGAAAAGTAAATAAGTACCAGAAGTGGTTCCCAATTTGCACGACAGATTACATAATGAAAGGGATTCCACAGTTTTTTCCTTCAGTTGAATGCAGCCAGATAGTCTTAGAATTATATAAAAATATCACCAAACGTAGTTACACACTAAAACTTTAAAAATTAAGCGCCGTACAAGAAACATTAAACTTAGCAGCATTTCATTGTAGTTAGTAATTAGATCCAGGATAAGCGTTTTATCTTACTAGGAACTTATTGACTAGATGTAGCTGCATCCCAGTTCGAATGGCTTCTTCCTAAAGCTTTACTCATTAACTATTTCGAACTTTAGTTTCAACATAAACTTTTTAATGCATGTCATCTAGCTGATAGGTTCTCAGTAGGACAAATGAAATTCACCATTTCCAACGTTAACTTCTATTCAACTATATTAGAATTTATGGCTAAGAGGCTATATCAAGACAGTCAACTAAGGATGTAAACACGCAAACAGTGATCGATCAACAACAGTTATATACTTTTTCACACATAATCTTAATTTCATCTTTAACAAGAAACACATATATTCGACAAAATAACAAGATTTATGACCACCCATATAGGTTTCCATTAACTAAATTCACAATCATCATTTGACACATTCTAACTAATATTATACTATTTAAAAAAGAAAAACTAAGAAATAAGCAGAATAAATAAAGTTAGATGGGGAAAAATGAAAAACAAGAAAGTGACAGTTACTAACCTGTATAAATAACATAAGAATATACATAGAGAATCCCACTTCACTTTTATCTATCGAACAATGTTCATAATCGTTACTTTATTATGAAATAAAAATGTATGTGAAATCGTCACAGTTAGTAAAATGAGTAAATATTATACTTAAACATAAATGATAAAAAGTTAAATTATTCTTTCATCCAACCAGTTTAACTAATTCAATTTAGATAGTTGAAATCATGAGTTAATTAAAGCTAGACCACCATGGAAAATCTGGAAGCACTGGACGGCCGTTTTGTTCTAGTATAGGACTACTCAACAGTGCGCATCCACGATCCCGCCTCCCACGACGTTCGAACCCAGGAACTATCAGTCTCGCGCGTGAGCGCTTAACCACTAGACCACTGAGTCGACATTCAACGGTGTTAATGTCTACTTCAACCAATCCACGCAGTCGCGCCACCGTACACCATTGTCTTCAGTGAGTTGATATCTCACAACAGACCTGGTTGAACTCCACTGGAAACGGCTTCTCACTGGAACTCCGGGAAATTCCTCTTGAAGTCAGCCACTAGGACGAAAAGGCCTTCCACTGCTTCCAGATTTTCCATAATGGTCTAGCTTCGATTGACTCATGATTTCAACTATTGAAATTTCTAAAAATCTCGACAAAACCCCTTCTGATAATTCAATTTACTTTTTAACTACTTTCCCCTTGCTTTCCCTATTTAAAAATACCTACATAAAGATGTTATTATTTTTTAAAAGAGAAATATTGGTACTTTTATCAGTTCTTATATGATTATCGTTTATTTCAACCATTCATGTATACTTTTCAAAGGTTAATTGGTATACGCTGAATGTGTTTGTTTGCTTTCATCATTGACTGTTGCTTGTAGGATTTGAATTTTTACATCAAATGTCGATTGTAAAGACGAAAACAAAATAACCCTTAATGAAAAAAGATCTCATAATTTATATTTTTACAGAATTTTTTTTTGTTCTGAAAGACTAAAACAACACAAATATGGTAGTATGTTCCATGTTACTTCAACTTTAAAAAAAACACACAACTCAGTATTTCAGATACAATAAATCAATTATTTTTTGGTCTCGCAGCTTCGTGGAAAACTTAACAATCTCTACAACCCCTAAACTGATAAATCAATAATTGTTTATCATCTAAGTTTGTCTGAATTTACGGAAATTTGTAACCATGTACAAAAATTGAATAAAGAAATTCTGTGTACATTGATAGACAGTGTGTACAATCATGTTTATTTATTTTTATTCAAAATATACGTTACAAAGTCGTAAAACAAAAACTTTTATATCATGGCTATCAGTTTATATAACTCAGATTGTAGCTTATCTAAGGTTACTACCGGTTCCAAGTTCTGATAAAGAAGGAGGGTTGAACATGGGATAAGCAGCATTATCTCACAGAAAACGACTTTGCTAAAAAAACGTTGACCAGGAAAAGTAATTGGAACCGTTTAAATTTTACCCTCTGAGTTGAAGGATTTTCTTTCAGAAGAATTATGATGCCTCATGATGAAAGCTAAGATTTTTTAAAAGTTACGAAGTCGATGCTCAGTCTAACAACCAACGCAACGATTATTGTAAGCAAATGGAACGCCCATAAAATGTATGAGACCCGAAGAAAATGAGGAGATACAAGTTGACGGTTCTCGGAAGCAGTAAAACCCATCAGATCCTATCTAGACAGAAAGATTACATTCTGGAGAGATGATACTATACTCAGATCACGAACAAAAGATGGTCCATACACTCAGAGAATTGATCTGATGCTGTTCAAGCAAACACGAAATGCACTTACAGGATGGGAATCTCACGGATCCAGACACTCGGTTTTACTTCGTCTGATTTTATGGTGATTGGTTTACACGTTCACACGTATGAGACGTTAATTTACCCTAGACGAATATCTACACTAGATTCCCTCCCACTGTCTATTTTACAGGACGTCAACACAACTCAGATCAAGAACACATGATTAGCCTGACCACAACGTAAATATATTTCCACACAAAAAACCCGACACAATCCAAGAATAATGAACAATCAATAATAAGTGAGTCATAATAATAATAAGGATAGGGGAATATATAACTCATCTGACACCTGTCAGACTGTCTACATGTCTGACTAAGCAGATAACCAATCATTATCATTCTCGCCCATACATCACTTTCAAAGCCAACAAAAAAGGAATCACAGTGAATATTATCCAATGTTATGGACACACCAATGATAACAATGACGACGACAAGGATCGGTTCTATGAGATGCTACAATCAATCATTGCGGAGTGCTCAAAAAACGACCTGACCATTCTATTGGGGGACCCAAACGCCAAAGTAGGAATGGACAACACTGGATACGAAAATATGATGGACAACATAGACTGGAAGTAAGGACTGAGAATGGTGACATTAGCAAATTTATGTGCATTCAACAAAATGGTTATATATTTCACTGTATTCACACACAAACACAAGCTGCATGGGTCTCACCGGACCACACTACAGTAAAAAGTCAGAAGGTCAATTGAAGACGTGAG